CCAACTGGACGTCTACTTCCGGACGAAAAAAAAAATAAAGGCAACTCCAACGTGTAGAAAGGGGAAGCAACTCTGTATACATGTACGCACGCATGTGTTACCATTAAAAATACTTGTGTCAAAACCACGATCTATGTCTCTCGGGAAACTTTGATGATCGAGTACTTGTATCATTGCGTTACATTTTAAAGCATAACTCTTTTCTAGTTATCAACAAAAACCCGTGGTGTTTTACATTACCACCAAAATGAACAGTTATACAGTATCCCGCGATTAACATATATGACTTTTTCTGTGTGCCTCCTCAGCCAACCGTGGTCTGCAAGAGCTAAACGGAAATCCCCTCTTACCAAGTTACAAAGTTTTAGATAGCTAATCACTGTGACACACTCAAAAAGTGTTTGAAAGAAAATATCTCCAAGTTCAGTAGCGTAAAAACAAACTTCAGGCTAAAGTGCATTAAATACATTTACAATTTATCAGTAAATGTAGTTATAGACAGTCTATTTACACGATTATTTCCCCTTGAACGTTTCGCGGCAAGCGCGGAGGCATTTCAACACCTTATGGCCCATAAGGTCAGTTGACATGTGACTGAGCTTGCAGTGCAATCGACATTTACAACGCTGATTCCATCGCGATACCTTATTAACAGGTCTACAACCGGTTTTGAGTACATCAACCATGGAATTTACAAATAAAACCCGTAGTTTTACGTCGATAGACCTATATGTTTCCTAAGTGCAGACACGGCGATATCAAACATCACTGCCGGTACGTTATAGCGCCATCCACGACAGTATCCTTATCATTGATCTATAAACGTAGGTTAACAAGTACCTAGGACGCCTAGATTGTCCAGCTCTCGATTTAGACCCATCAACACAGAAAAATAGTCGAACTGACGACTTACATTGTAACTACACGCTGATACCAGCAGGGTTTTTCTATTTATATATATATATATATCATGTGAGTATGGTTTATAACTTCAATGTTTCATCATAAATGTTTTTTCCTGAACTTTTGTGGAAAGATGATGTGTCCATTGTATAGAAATGTTTTCTTTCAAGGTCGATGCTGTCACATTAATTATTAATTACTTCCGGTATGCAGTTTTCTCAGCATAAAAAACCATTGATCTATTATCTTTACAATTATCGGAAAAAAATATTTTATAAGACACACCAACTACTCAACTATAAACTGATGTTGCATTGAATTTTAGGGTAGAGCTTTGAAGTGTAAGGGTACTTTCCACGTCGGCACTGATGATTCAGCGCTTTGGTCATTTAATTGTATCGCGTCAAATAATGCTGTAAAGACCCTGTCGTATTCCCCTGGCGGAGAGAGGATGTGGGCAATCGAAAAACATTTCTATTTAGATTACGGCTTTAGCATACAGTTTCACCATTACAAAAACTGTATCTTTTCTCGTGGAAATTTACAAATAAACTCGCATCACCTTCTATTCGGTGACAAATCGTCGATCAGCGCTGAGGCAGTGTAAACAACAAATTAATATACATAATAACCTTAGTAGGAATCTTTTAACAAGTAGAACACATTTAGTCGACTCACTCACCGTCCGGAATGACATGTGTCAGGGTTCTGTTGCCTTGAAGTTCCTTTTATTGAGGTTCACGCTTGCTTCAGTAGCGAGATCGTTATCGAAGTAAACGAAAAAGTATCTTAGAGCATGGCGACTTCCAAATTGAAATGCCATTTGTTATTTTATTCAACTGTGTTAATTGCACTCTCAAACCATCAACCAAACTAATTGATACTTTATCATAGAAATGTGATGGATCGATAGTGAAATAAGGCGTTACTGACGTCAGCTATGTGTATATCGCGTTTTCGTCCCGGCACAGCAGCATGCGGTTAAGTCCTCCCAGAGCCATTGTCATCACATGACATTTCTTTATGCTGATAAACAAACTTGCTACATGTGCATTGCCTGCTGCAAAGTAATGATAGAAATATAAAAGTTGTCCCCTGGTCATCGAAATCCTAACAAGTATTGTTTTATTTGTTAATAAGGTTAAAACATAGCCAAAACACAAGTCTGAAAACATTAAAAAATCTCCTTGAGCCCAGAAGTCATATAGTACCCTAAAGGTACATGTAATACCCATACCTCGGATACTGCCCATACACGCAGACAGTTAACTAAATGTCTTCCAAAATCCTCAGGAAAACCATCCTCGATACTCTAGGGGTTACGCTCACGTTCGCTCTCTACACCCCTGTAATATGTCATAGCAAAATTGAAGGTTCGGTGTGCGCCGACTTGTTGAATAGACAAGAAGACTAGTTCGATACTTTGATGTACATCAAAAGAATCTTGCGGTCACGTAACGGTAAAAAATTGACAGATTGTGAAGTCGGGCGTCTCTCCTTTGTAATCTTCAAAGGACAGGTATCAGCCTAGCGATTGGTCAGTTTTTTGTTTAATCTGAGACCAATCAACACAGCTATCGCCGTACCAGTAATTTAGACATCCGCTCTATCCTCTCCGGAAAGAGTAACCCAAATATCTCGCCAACATTCGGGGATATATCCGATTCCCCTGGATAATCCCCATTGCTGTCTCTCCTATACCCCGAGACGAGTGCCCTAGTTGTCCTGACACCCCTTGACCAGCTCCATTATTCTCTTTCTCCATACCCCTGCTTTAGCTACTTACATTATTTATCCCTGTCTTTAATACCCCTATATAAGCTCCACTGCTTTTTCGGCAATACTCCGTCTTCCTTACTGTGTCTCCAACACATCTGGATTAGCTCCCTTACTTTCTATATCTCCCATTCCCTTGGACTGTCTTCCTTACTCTCTCTCCTATACCCCTAGACAAGCCTTTCTCATTGACCATCTTCCTTTCTCCGTTTCCCATACCTCTGGATTAGCACTTTTCACTCTACTTCTACCATTCCCTTAAATAAACTCCCTTGCCCCTGGGTTCCTATGATCAGCTCCCCTGCTCTCCACCATACCCATGGATCAATTCCTTCCGCTGCCTCCTCACCTTTGAGACTACGTGTGGGAGTGTGTCGATTACGATTCCGGCTGTAAGCTTAAGAGATCACCGGTCTGCTGATGTTAAGATGACAGTACGGTCTCAGGGGCACTCAACCCATTTAGTGACCTTAGGGACTAGATATGTGTGTTAGAAATATCAATACTGTATATAGTCAATATTGTTCGCTGTATTCTCGCAAGACTATATTACACGTAGTTGTACAATGCTATTATTGACTTGTGGTGGGGAAATTACAGTCGTGCCACAGATATGATATTAATATAGATATATAAATCCTCGATCTCTGTCCGTGTAGTGTATCATATAACAAAAATACTAAACAATAAGCTGTCTTTTCGTTACCCCAGGGTATACTGAAGGTCTCCCCAATACCCCCGGGACAAATCCCCGGCGATAGTGTTTTGTTCAAGGGTACAGCATGTATACTTATCGTTAGTACTCCGGCTAACTAAAAAAAAATCTATAAACTCCTCGGAGTTGCTTGATAATCGACATTGTTCTCCGGCAGAGGCATGAAATATCTCACCAATAACTTGTATCGTTAAAGTGACTTCGTGCGTATTTCCCTATCCAGTTTTCTCCTCCTCCTCCTCCTCCTCCTCCTCCTCCTCCTCCTCATCACTTGGCTGTTACTGTTTATAGCAGTACACACGCACACTATTGCTGACTTCTGACGCACGTCCAGGGGCAGATGGTCAATGGCTAAGCCGCGAACCTTTAATTCAGACGACCTCGGTTCAATTCCCGATACGAGTGTTGAGCTCTTCCTGTATGCTGTTTTATTTTAGGATTTCAGTTTTTTGTAAAAACTAATTTGGACCCTAAGTGATAAATATCTAAAACTTAACTCAAACATCGTAGGAAAAATTAATTAAAACCTCGAGGGCTAAACTCGCTTCATTTTGAAACCCCTACAAACTCACAGGGCAAGCTCAATATGTATCGTTTCGTTAGAGAGATAGTCATAATTGGTAAGTTTTTACTGATTAACTTTTATATTGTTTAGCTCACAAATACTTTTCTATTTTGGTTCATCCGCTGAAAACACAGTCGGACCCCAGGGACCCCAGGGACCCCAGGGACCCCATGTCTCAATGCCCTTAAAATCCACCATAGGAACCGGCATCACAAGCGGGAAAAGCTTTTTCCTTTGGGTCCATCGGAAAACACTGATAGAGTCTAGGAAAAATATTTGAAGTTAAGGATGTTTTCCTAAACTTTACAATGCTTTTAAGTTCGAAACACGGAAGTTTAAAATTTTCCTTAAGTTCAGGAATTTTATTGAAACTGGGTCCTGTTGATATTGTTATAGGCATATACGATTTCAGATTTCTAATTGTATTTCACTCAGACACAAATTAGTTTTTAATAAGAATATAAGATGATTCTTACATCAAAGGCGACTTTTAAACATATATTAAACAAAGTATCATCTAAAATTCCCTTCTTTAATACCTGTAGTGACTGTGAAATAAGTTTAAATGCAAATTATTTGAGATTTTAACAAATGAAAATCCTGAAACAGGTCGAGTGGATTTGATAGGGAATCGTCAGACACATGGCTTCATGTGTATTGCTATATTGCATTTTTTTCTGTTGGAGTTCTCTCCCTTTAGTTTAGGAGAGTAGCTATATAGTGTGTCCTACCAGGGACGAAACCCGCGACTCCGGACCTCCTAGTCGGACGCTCTACCACTAAGCTAAAGGAAGATTCCTCTAGTGCGAAGCTAGAAGGCGACCTATGTACTGAACAATTAAAATCTGCCACAGCATATTTGAATTGATTCGAAATTTTTTTCTCATCAAATATTGCTGTGAACCTTTCAATGTTGTTCTCAATATATTTCCGAGATTAAAATAATATAAATCCTGTAATGATTTCAAGATTGGCGTCTCTTGCATCCACAGGTATATGAGCGGAACCGCCGTTACCAGACTCCCTGCTGGGGCGTTCAGGATGTACCCAAACCTAACACAAATGTAAGTATAAAACTACATAACAACACTTTTTTAATAAAAAATAGTTTACGACCTTGACAAACGAATTCTGAACTACTCCCGTGGACATTAACCCTATTGTTCTCCATACTTATTAATATATATATATATATATATAATGACACTTGCTACCTATGTAACCCAACTGGACTGTGTCGACCGGCGACCAGGCACGTAGCTCAATTGGTAGATCGTCCATCAAGAGGTCGGAGGGACCTGGGTTTGTAACCCAGTCTAGAGCTTGCCGTGCATTCTTTCTCTTACGACAGTTTGTGCCTGTGACCAACTCCTGTTTCAAGCACTGGTTGAATGCTTGATAACGGGTACCCAAATCTGGGTTGCAAATAGTGCTATCATCTGGGGCGATGGCTTAGCGAAAGGAGGATTACTTCGAGTCAAATTAATCGTTAAAAAATATGATTTATGATTAATAAATGTTATTTTATCTATTAAAAAAAAATCAAACCAATAAATGATAGTTTCTAAACAATACTCAATGTCATGCGGTTATTTGGGGATTAATGTGTAGCTAGTGACTATATCCGGCAAATACTGAAAAAAGGGACTGAGACAGAACCCTGAAGAACACCTGCATATAAATACGAAATTAGTTTGTTCGCCGAGAGAAACAAGTGGTCAAAACGTAGCCATGCTTAAATAAGGAAACGTGTGAACAGACTAGGTAATCGATATTTACATTCAACATCACCTAAATTAATTGAATTCATAAGTGTTAATATACTAATATATGATAAATAAACTATTATCGATATTAATGCTGGTTACTCTAATTACATACACCAATATTTCTTTAAACGAAGACTAAAGGTTTATAGATACAAAAAATGTAACACCCGGCAATACGCTAAGATAGCAATCGTTTATGGTGATCTTTGTCTATCTGATATTCCGCTCGATGAAAGATTGTCAAAGGGATTTAAGAGATGGAGACAATGGCGAAGTATAATTAGAAGAACTAAAATTGAACTGTACCAAGCCATTTGTCAAAAGAAGACGGAACTCGCCCGCAATCAAACAGTCATAGGAAACGGATTGGCTAATACAAATTCGGCAATTAATTTTGCCTTTCATCTACACAGGGAAGTTACAATGCGGGAAAGGGATATGCTGGTTTGAAAAAAAAGCCGAGCCTTAATTTACGAATTCTCATGTCAGCGGTGTCAGAAGTATCTGTCAACCGTTATCATGTTGATGCAATTAGCGGATTACTATATATAAGCTTAAAATACCGAAATAAATTGTATCCTATATAAATGACTTAAAAAGACATGGGATGTGCGTGTATACCATTCTTAAACATCCTATGTATGTTATAAGATGACATTATAAAGCGATTCAAACTCCTTCGGATAAACTAGCTTTCTAAACGGCAATGAACCGGAAGTTAACGATGCAGAGGAAATAACATACTGTGACGTCAACTTTCATTAATCTGCTGTTGTAATCACACTCTCAGATACAGGTTTGTGCAATAATTATATGCCCGAACAATCACAATGACTTCCAGCGTGTGGAAATAAAAATTGGTCACACAAATGTCAAGAAGTGTCGAGAGTGAGGCAAATCTGACTTTTAGCGTCGATTTTAACAGTGCCAAGTTTTTTTGATAAAAATTCGATATCGTTCTAATGTCTATTGCGCTGTTAATATCAGACTGACATCAAAATCTTCATGTGTGACGTCATAATCTGCTCGCTTTTAATCCATGATAATGTTTGATTCAATTTATTTTAATCTAAGGATGAAACTTGCATCATTGTAATAATTTAGAATTGACTTTGACAATGTAGGCAAGACTTTGACATAATGTTTAAGTGTAACCATCAAGGTTTTTTCAATTTTTTTTTTTTACCGAAAAATTTGGTAATTTCGATAAAATTGGTTATGCCGCTCTCAATTTAGTTTTATGATGAACGAGCGTAAAGGAAAATAAGACTTGGTAATAGGTTAAGGACAAAGGTAAAATTATTTTCATTTATTGTTTGCTATTGTAGAATGTTGTGTATGATATGGTGGGATATACTATTATGGCTGTTAATTATGACTAAAATCACTGCATTTGAGCGAATATTTTCTTTACGTTGGCAGATTTTTTCGAGATCTTCGAAAACGTCCGTGTTACTTAGAGACTCTGGACGAGGGCAGCTTTAGTCACCTGGACAATCTTCGTGTGATGTGAGTATATATCTAAAGCAATGTATAATAGACATCTCTGTGTGATGTGAGTATATATCTAAAGCAATGTCTAATGACATATCCGTGTGATGTGAGTATATATCTAAAGCAATGTATAACGACATATCCGTGTGATGTGAGTATATATCTAAAGCAATGTCTAATGCCATCTCTATGTGATGTGAGTATATATCTAAAGCAATGCATAATGACATCACCGTGTGATGTGAGTATATATATAAAGCAATGTCTAATGACATCTCTGTTTGATGTGAGTATATATCTAAAGCAATGTCTAATGCCATCTCTGTGTGATGTGAGTATATACCTTAAGCAATATCTAATGCCATCTCTATGTGATGTGAGTATATATCTAAAACAATGCATAATGCCATATCTGTGTGATGTGAGTATATACCTTAAGCAATATCTAATGACATCTCTGTGTGATGTGAGTATATGTACCTAAAACAATATCTAATGGACATCTCCGTGTAATGTGAGTATATTTCTAAAGCAATGTCGAATGGCAATATCCGTGTGATGTGAGTATATACCTAAAGCAATGCATAATGACATCTCCGTGTGATGTGAGTATATATATAAAGCAATGTCTAATGGACATCTCTGTTTGATGTGAGTATATATCTAAAGCAATGTCTAATAGACATCTCTGTGTGATGTGAGAATATATCTAAAGCAATGTATGATGGACATCTCTGTGTGATGTAATGACATCTCAGTGTGATGTGAGTATATATCTAAAGCAATGTCTAATAGACATCTCCGTGTGATGTGAGTATATGTCTAAAGCAATGTCTAATAGACATCTCTGTTTGATGTGAGTATATATCTAAAGCAATGTCTAATGGACAATCTCTGTGTGATGTGAGTATATATCTAAAGCGATGTCGAATGGACATCTCCGTGTGATGAGAGTATGTATCTAAAGCAATGTCTAATAGACATCTCCTTGTGATGTGAGTATATGTCTAAAACAATGTCTAATAGACATCTCTGTTTGATGTGAGTATATATCTAAAGCAATGTATAATGACATCTCTGTGTGATGTGAGTATATATCTAAAGCAATGTCTAATAGACATCTCCGTGTGATGTGAGTATATATCTAAAGCAATGTCTAATAGACATCTCCGTGTGATGTGAGAATATATCCAAAGCAATGTCTAATGCACATCTCTGTGTGATGTGAGTATGTATCTAAAGCAATGTCTAATGGACATCTCTGTGTGATGTGAGTATGTATCTAAAGCAATGTCTAATAGACATCTCTGTGTGATGTGAGAATATATTTAAAGCAATGTATTATGGACATAACTGTGTGATGTGAGTATGTATCTAAAGCAATGTCGAATGGACATATCCGTGTGATGAGAGTATGTATCTAAAGCAATGTCTAATGGACATCTCCGTGGGATGTGAGTATATGTCTAAAGCAATGTCTAATAGACATCTCTGTGTGATGTGAGTATATATCTAAAGCAATGTCTAATAGACATCTCTGTGTGATGTGAGAATATATCTAAAGCAATGTATGATGGACATCTCTGTGTGATTGATGTGAGTATATATCTAAAGCAATGTCGAATGGACATCTCCATGTGATGTGAGTATGTATCTAAAGCAATGTCTAATAGACATCTCCGGACATCTCCGTGTGATGTGAGTATTTGTCTAAATCAATGTCTAATAGACATCTCTGTGTGATGTGAGAATATATCTAAAGCAATGTATGATGGACATCTCTGTGTGATTGATGTGAGTATATATCTAAAGCAATGTCTAATAGATATATTTAAAGCAATGTATTATGGACATAGAGTATATATCTAAAGCAATGTCTAATGGACATCTCCGTGTGATGTGAGTATTTGTCTAAAGCAATGTCTAATAGACATCTCTGTGTGATGTGAGTATGTATCTAAAGCAATGTCTAATAGACATCTCCGTGTGATGTGAGAATATATCCAAAGCAATGTCTAATGGACATCTCCGTGTGATGTGAGTATATATATAAAGCAATGTATGATGGACATCTCTGTGTGATGTGAGTATGTATCTAAAGCAATGTCTAATAGACATCTCTGTGTGATGTGATTATATATCTAAAGCAATGTCTAATGACATCTCTGTGTGATGTGAGTATATACCTAAAGCAATGTCTAATGGACATCTCTGTGTGATGTGAGTATATATCTAAAGCAATGTCATCTCCGTGTGAGGTGAGTATATATCTAAATCAATGTCTAATGACGTCTCTGTTTGATGTGAGTATATATCTAAATCAATGTCTAATGACATCTCCGTGTGATGTGAGTATATATCTAAAACAATGTCTAATAGACATCTCCGTGTGATGTGAGCATATATCTAAAGCAATGTCTAATGACATCTCTGTTTGATGTGAGTATATATCTAAATCAATGTCTAATGACGTCTCTGTTTGATGTGAGTATATATCTAAATCAATGTCTAATAGACATCTCCGTGTGGGGTGAGTATATATCTAAATCAATGTCTAATGACATCTCTATTTGATGTGAGTATATATCTAAATCAATGTCTAATAGACATCTCCGTTTGATGTGAGTATATATCTAAAGCAATGTCTAATGACATATCCGTGTGATGTGAGTATATATCTAAAGCAATGTCTAATGGACGTCTCCGTGTGATGTGAGTATATATCTAAAGCAATGTATAATGACATCTCCATGTGATGTGAGTATATATCTAAAGCAATGTCATCTCCGTGTGAGGTGAGTATATATCTAAATCCATGTCTAATGAAATCTCCGTGTGATGTGAGTATATATCTAAAACAATGTCTAATAGACATCTCCGTGTGATGTGAGAATATATCCAAAGCAATGTCTAATGCACATCTCTGTGTGATGTGAGTATGTATCTAAAGCAATGTCTAATGGCCATCTCCGTGTGATGTGAGTATATATCTAAATCAATGTCTAATAGACATCTCCGTGTGAGGTGAGTATATATCTAAATCCATGTCTAATGACATCTCCGTGTGATGTGAGTATATATCTAAAACAATGTCTAATAGACATCTCCGTGTGATGTGAGTATATATCTAAAGCAATGTCTAATAGACATCTCTGTGTGATGTGAGTATATATCTAAATCAATGTCAAATAGACATCTTTGTGTGATGTGAGTATATATCTAAAGCAATGTCTAATAGACATCTCCGTGTGATGTGAGTATATATCTAAAGCAATGTCTAATGGACATCTCCGTGTGATGTGAGTATATATCTAAAGCAATGTCTAATGGACGTCTCCGTGTGATGTGAGTATATATCTAAAGCAATGTATAATGACATCTCCATGTGATGTGAGTATATATCTAAAGCAATGTCTAATGGACAATCTCTGTGTGATGTGAGTATATATTTGAAGCAATGTCTAATAGACATCTCCGTGTGATGTGAGTATATATCTAAAGCAATGTCTAATAGACATCTTTGTGTGATGTGACTATATATCTAAAGCAATGTCTAATGGACATCTCCATGTGATGTGAGTATATATCTAAAGCAATGTCTAATAGACATCTCCGTGTGATGTGAGTTTTTATTAGTTAGTTTTCCAAACGATGTCTAATGGAGCTTTCTGTGCGATGTGGATATAGGCATAAAGTAATGCCTACTGCGTCCTCGATACACCAGTGGTAACGCCCGCTTATGTTTTATACACCCCTTGCATATGTCATACATGAAGCAATAATGAAGGCATGCGGCTAGTTATTTGATTGATCTCAGGTAAAATAAAACTGACCAATCGCTAGGTTGATCTCTGTCATTTGAAGATCACATAGGAGCGACATCCGACTTCAAAGCCAGTCAATTTTACCGTTACGCGGCCGAGAGAATTTTTTTAAGTGTTCATATAAGAATCATGTACGTGTCTTCCTGTCTCATCCCCATGGAGGCGCACACTGAGCCTTTAACTTTGTCATGACATATTCCAGGGGTGCAGAGAGCAGAAGTGATAGTAAACCCTGGAGATTCGGGGATGTGCGTACTGGACAACTCATTGACAGGATACAATCTGTGAACAGTAACATGTTAATGACGGCAAATCAACCTAACATTTAATACCTAAAGAAGGGTCGTTAATGTATAAGATGCATTTTTAATGAAATAAGGATATCTCTAGAAGAAGCAGAGACCTCTTAAATTCAATTTGAGATAGTTCTAAATGGATTAAAAACATATATCGTAAAATATAATCTCGTTAAATTAGCTTTATAAGACATGTTCCTACTCTTTATATAATATCTTAAACACAACAATCTCAATTAGTTCGTGTGGTTTTTCTTAAGGTAAATACATATCACTTTTATGTATATGATGCTAGTTTGGCTAATACTCGTTGATAAATCTTGACAATTATTCATGAACACATACATGTACAGGCCCTGCTGTGTGAGGGACATGCGTTACTGGCAGCGAAAGCTACTAGACGACACTTGAGCATCAGAACACCTGTACAGACCCTGCTTTGTGAGGGGCATGCGTTACTGGTAACGAAAGCTACTATACGACACTTGAGCATCAGAACACCTGTACAAGCCCTGCTGTGTGAGGGGCATGCGTTACTGGCAGCGAAAGCTACTAGACGACACTTGAGCATAAGAACACCTGTACAGGCCCTGCTGTGTATGAACATGCGTTACTGGTAGCGAAAGCTACTAGACGACACTTGAGCATCAGAACACCTGTACATGCCCTGCTGTGTGAGGGGCATGCGTTACTGGTAGCGAAAGCTACTATACGACACTTGGGCATCAAAAAACCTTACAGGCCCTGCTGTGTGAGGGGCATGCGTTACTGGTAGCGAAAGCTGCTATACGACACTTGAGCATCAGAACACCTTACAGGCCCTGCTGTGCGAGGGGCATGCGTTACTGGTAGCGAAACTACTAGACGACACTTGAGCATCAGAATACCTGTACAGGCCCTGCTGTGTGAGGGACATGCGTTACTGGTAGCGAAAGCTACTAGACGACACTTGAGCATCAGAACACCTGTACATGCCCTGCTGTGTGAGGGGCATGCGTTACTGGTAGCGAAAGCTACTATACGACACTTGAGCACAGCAACTTTTAGCTATTTGCAGCATCCTTAATTGAACGGAAAACATATACAAGTAAGTTGTGGACCGATGCCGATAAAAGAAGATCGAAAAGAGGCTATATTAAAACAATCCAGTATCACAGAGTTTGAGTGTCGCTTTTAATAGTTCGAATGGGAATTAAAATATATCTATTTTAAAATTGAAGCAGATTTCAAAATTACGTTTGTTTTGGATTTAATGAAAGTTGGTAATAAAATGTCTGTGTCGCTACGCCCCATTCAACACTTCCCCTGGGGTCGTCAAATTGTTTGAATTACAAGCCAAACACACCTTCCAGGGATTGACAAAATGGAACGACAGACAAGGTTTGGACATTTTAAAAACCAAATCCAATTTCAATTACCCTCTCATTATAATGGCTTTGGTGAAATTGGTTTTGGTGTTGAAGTTGCTTGAAAATTTGTGTTTTTGAATTTAAGTACACTCATCAAAGCTAATTTATAAAGATACTGTTTACGAGTTCGCGAGGTAAGGTGTCGAGAGTGATGCATTAGCAATTATTATCGGGCTCTAACAAGGCGAAATATATTGGCATGCAACACAGAACAGCATATAAAAAGGCCAGTCGATAAAGAATCAAAATTAATTCTTCCTAATCTAAACAAGAGAACATTAAATGGATTGGGTGACACCTTCGGTTGATACGTACTCTATGGGTCAAAGGTCATGGCGTGTTCGTAAGGTTAACACGCATTATTTCTGTTCAAGGGTGTCTTGTAATGTCATAATTATAATGTTACAGTGTCAAACTGAAACCCGAAACTGTCTGACATCAAAGCATTGCACTAAGGTGGCTACATGTAATATATTGGGGTCAGTGCAGAACCAATGATATAGGAATACGTGATCACATTAAGATGAATATGTGATAACACCAAATCATGATATCATTTATTCTTGATATTCAGGTTTCCCTCAAATCAGGGAGACATTGGAACGTTGGCGATTACATTAAATATAAATGAGTTGGTTCTCGAACGGGAAAGATATAAACATACTTTTTAAGACGATGAAATCCTATTGTATTCACAGAGACAACGTTTCCGATCTAAACCATAAAGTGTCGTGGAATAATATAATATCAAGAATTCAAAAATTCAATAATTTAAGTCTAATATAATTTCGTTTCCCCTTCTTACAGAAGTTATTCACTCTCGTATATGTTTTCCTTTTCCTTAATTACACAAGATATGGAAATACAGGCATTTACTGACACTTATTACATCTGCTATAACATTTCATCGCAGGACAACGTCAGACATTCTGGGTGTCTCTCTTGCTTTAGTGATCATGACCGCCACCTTCTTATGAGTTATCGTAAGTTTCTTGCGTAATCAGTTACCAAAGATATACCTTGCACGCCGATATAACATGTTGACTTTTTGTTTACTAATTTATTTATTCATTTTTGTTTGTGGTTTTGGGGATTGGGCGTGAGACAGGGTTTATACAAAATTTCACATTGATTGACATGTATCAAGGATAAACATTACATATACTTACATTTTCTGTGTTTACAGAGGCATCATTGGGTGTGAGCGACTCCACAACATTGGACCGGGGGTGTTCGGACAGTTCCAGCTTCTCGATACTATGTACGTCTTAAGCATTTTTTAAAACATGGTTCTAACGTTTAACACATTCTGCTTTATACATTGTATATAATTATTTCTCGGCAACCGGATTTTCTTGTCCTGAAAAATGATGAATATCACTTTTTTCATGAAATTCCATCAGTTTATTCGCTGCTTTTAGGCCTGTTGATAGAGCATCAAGGTAAGCCCTTTATAAAATACCATACTCATGACTATTTTAGCAATAATAACGGAGCGAGGTTTTAATTATAACAAAGTTTCAGCTTTTGAATAAAATGATATAACGAACGCTGATAAAATGGCAACGATAATGTGATCAAAGTCTGTGGTGACGTTTACACATACATTAATGACAGGAACACATGTGACCACACAGCAATGTACACGTCATCAACCGATTGAACACACTGAATCTAACTGTGCTAATGATGTTTATGTTACAGAAAGATTTACCGTAGCGGGATAACACGGGTACCCAACATGGAGAGCTTCAGTACCAGGAACAGGGATACTAATGAAATAATGCATGAGATGTAAGGGCTAATTCTGGTTATATTGACCGTTAACTCGGCATGTTATTCCGTCTTTGCGTATTGCAGAGTTATCTTCTCTTGTGAGTAGGTATTGATTGTTACTTCATTGGTCTGTGTGAGAAAATTACGTCGTTTTCTCAAAAATTGATGACGTTACTCTCGCAAACAAATGACGTAACAATCAATACCTGCTCACAAGAGAAGATAACTCTGCAATATGTAAAGACGGAATAGCACAACACACACACTTGCTTGGCTGTGATAAAGGTAACTCATAGTTAACGTTTAGTACAACCTTAGTATTGTACGGTTAGTACATTGTATTTATTAAGGATGCCTGTCCTATTGCAGACAAAACACTAGAGAATTCCATTGGTTTTCGTACAATAATGTAGATACACATGTAACATGACTGGGCCAGAATACATCCGTTCAACAAGTAGCTATGTTGATTGGAGCGACAGAATAATGATCCTAGTTTCATTGTTTGAACCCTGGTCTGGCTTAATTGCATTTACATTTAAAACTAGAATGTAATCATATTAACTTTTTTTTCATAAAGAGTTCTTCAAGGAATGGACTTCCTTTCCGAAAAGATTAATGATAGCTATAGCCGTGCAAGGAACAATCCAATACATATCTTCAGTTTTTGGCAGTTGTACAGGGATCCTTAAATATGATTTAAAACGAGGATGTTCGCTGAATTGACGTTTGATCGAAGACTAACATTACAAACGCAGACACATACAAACACAGAGAGAAGCGGTGAATGTGTTAATAATATTTTCGTTTCCTTTCTTTCGCAGAGACTTTTCAAACAACAAGATAGAGACAATCGAGGCGCACGCTTTCATGTCCATCAAAACAAACTTCCTGTAAGTATCTTTATCACATAATCGGCCTGTTATCCATTGAACTCGCCCGTGTAATATTTTTTACATATGTCACTAATGTAAGATACCCTGGAGCGTTTTTCATTGGCTGTGCCAGTCAGAAATCGATTGTGACGTCATAATATGGACAATGACGTGACGTCATAAATTGTGATTAGGGCAACAAAATGGCTGTCTCCGTTTGATTAATATAATATATATAAATATAGAAGGAAACTGTTACGAATGTAGTAATTACACAGTAACGACGAGAATGGCTATATTGTACTCATGAATTCGAAGTGATTGGGTCAAGGCTCGCATAATTAAAAGCTCCTAAGACTCGTTTCATAAAATCTCATATGAAATGAAACTTATTTAATATCCTTTATCTATGTAATATAAGTACGATGTAGGTATATCATGAAATTGGGTTCAATCCCAGATTACCTTACCTTTGTTTATTTTATTACTTTCAATAAATAATTGGGAATAATTTCAGAATGTTCCAGCTCCCTGAAAAGGCCGCCAACCTATAATATTGTATTTTTCTGGATACACAGGGAATTACGTTTTTAACAGAAATTTCCAATGCCTGTATACAGTAGAAAATTGGCGGAACTCTCAACGTGAAAGCTTTATGTATATTTACACATGTTCGCCAGCCTATTTAATATACTCTCGGTACTTCTTTTCTGGTATGAGACCTAAAGCCTATTAACTGTCGTTGATTTACTGGTCTTCCAGACCATTTGGTTACCGTTGATGCCACATTTCTAATTGTGTAATAGGGTATTCGTACATTTAACAATCAGAATGAGAAATAGTTACTACTGTAAATGTTGAAGAGTGATTCTTGTTTCTTATTTATCTATCTCTTTTGTGCAGTAAACTGGACAATAACCGAATTGTAAAAATCGAGAAGAGTGCATTTTACGAGGCGCAAATAGTCAACCTGTAAGTATTTTAACCATTATGTGTGACAGATGCCCTTTCATACAAAAGTACTTACACAGAAAGTTATGCTAATGTTGATTTACATAAAGAGGTATATCTAAATGGTACTGACCAACTTCAACAATTTGAAGATAAAATATCTGAAACGTATACAGACATTCTTTTTTCATACTTAACATAGAGGTAATGATATCACTTCATTTGACTAAAATTATGAAGTAGGACCGCCTTGTATCCACGCATTGAAATGTAGTGGCTCTGTTGAGGATTATGAAGCATTTGAAGAATATACATAATGTTCTTACTTTAACTAATGTGGTCAAATTTTTATTGAAAGTTAAATATATTAACCTTAGAACCAGTGATTTTTATACAGGTATATATTATTCGGTTAAACATTTTCTTATTTGAACATAGTTGTCTTTATCCCGAAAATGCCGATGCAATACTTAAACGATATGCTTACCATCTGTAGTGGCTGCTAGTATATGGCCCTGACAAAACAGCAGTATGCGGACATTCCACCGTTATCGTGTCATTGGCCTACCCATGCTATACCTCTGATTTTCAAAACGTTTCAAAAGTAGTATATCAAACTGTTTATATGAAACGACATCAACGCCATGATGAGGTGATGTTTATAAACGTATAGATCAACACAGTTAAATTAAGGACACATGCTAACTTTCAGATTGTGGACGAAATCTCGAAATGTGCGAAACCCTCATTGAGTCTGTTATACTAAAGATTTCACAAACGCCCTAACGCATGACTTTGAAAATTCTCATAAAGGAGACATAAAAGTAATAGAAAGTAACTCGTTAAGAATGTTAGGGCACCTTTCCTTCATCAAACGCATTGAGAAAAAAATGTACATACCCTTAGGCTGTCCAATTAAATTAATTTGCACTTACATGGTGTTTTGTAAGAAATGATATATTCACTGAACAGTTGTTAGTGTTATGACAAAAATCAATCTTGTCGACTTTTTTTTTTTTTTAAATTAACAAGGACTATTAAAATGCTCGGCGCGGTATAGTATATGTTGTGTGATATTTACAATAAATGTGTGATATTAACATAAATGATGTGTGATATGTACAGTAAATGTCGTGTGATATTTAGTGTATGTTATGGGATATTTACGGTACATGTTGTGTTATATTTACAGTATATGTTGTGTGATAATAACAGTGTATGTTGTGTAATATTTACAGCAGATGTTGTGTGATATATACAGTGTATGTTGTGTGATATATACAGTATATGCTGTGTAATATTTACAGTATATATTGTGTGATATAAACAGTGTATGTTGTGTGATATATACAGTGTATGTTGTGTGATATATACATTGTATGTTGTGTAATATTTACAGTATATGTTGTGTGATATATACAGTATATGTTGTGTGATATATACAGTGTATGTTGTGTAATATTTACAGTATATGTTGTGTGATATATACATTGTATGTTGTGTAATATTTACAGTATATGTTGTGTGATATATACA